TGCACTAGGCTTCCTTACACACACCCCTCCCATGAAGAATTCAAGCTGGTGCGTTATGACTGGCTTAGATCACCTCTTTATTTTTTGGTCTAGGTCTTAAAAAATGCAATGCAGGGTCTCGGAATGCTGCATTTAAAAGACAATGTAAGTAAACAATGATGACACCCAGTTCAGTCAAGGGGTCAAGTTAATACAGTGGGCACTTGCACACTGCTAGGGGTGGGACTTTTAGAAGGACAATATGGCTATTCATACAAGAACCTTCGGCGTTAGCTTTGGGGAAAGAATTCGGCTGGGCGCAAAGACCAGCCACGAGGACAGGTATCCCAACATTTTAAGGTAAGTGATCAGGGCTTTTCACCGGTATATCTGGCTGGTGCTCCTCCGACCAGGGCCATCATAGGAGTCCACTTCTTGCCCCACTGAAGTGAGGGTATGACTTGCTCTGGTCCAGATAAGAGGGCCTTAATGACATGTGTAACTCCCAGGCAGAAGTTGTTGGGATCCATGCCCAGTTCACCACCTTCTCCTTCTCTTCTTTTTGCTGCTGAAAACTAGTCACATTTCTCGTCGTGGGAGGTTCTCTGGGTTTGTGTCCTTGAAAGGGGTTGACACTGAGCCAAGTCTAACGCCCCCCAAGATGAGCATGTGAAGTAGGGTTTCTTAGCCTCAGCACGTCTGACGTCTGGGGGTGGGGAATTCTTTGTTGTGCAGAGCTGTCCTGTGCGTGCTTAATGGTACCCTCCGTCTCCACCCACCCAGCATCTCTTCGCAGGGTGACAACCAGACATTCCTGACACTGCCCAAAGTCTCCAGGGAGGGGTGAGAGCCACTGATATTCTGAATAGCCAAGAAATAGCCTCTGTCATTTTAAGCCACTCAAATTCTGAGATTCTCCACCCCGTTGCAACTGATACATTTTATCATATCAAAAATACTACCTAAACATTTAGCAAAAGGGAACTGCTTTACATTACGAGTATTTTTCTTTTTTTACCTTCTTCCCTTTGTTTCTCTGTGTTTTTAAATTTTTCTTCGGTGAAAACAGTTTGTTCTTTAGTAAGAAGGAACAAAACCGGAGAATTAATTTTATTTTAAATAGCTATGTTTACACAATTGCCTATTTCGATACAGTATTTGCTAGGGCCATGCAGAATTTCTTAGTACAATGATGTCTTGCATATGATATCTTTCTATGGTGCTTTGGTTCACGGAATGTTTTCTCATCCTACCTTTATTGTTGTTGTGTAATTGCAACAGTGTGAGGCAGGTAACACAGAGAGGTAAGAAATCTGAGACTAAAAGAGGTTAAGGGACATGTTGAAGGTCACCTGGGTAAGATGTAGCCGGACGTCCGTTCTCAGTTCTCCCTGGATTCCAGAACCTTCTCCCCATGCCACACTGCCTCTGGGTCACTACTTTTCACCATGTTCAAAAAGTCTGCGGGGACAGACTTCGATTCTTGGGAAATTGAAGCAGGTGAGAAAGGATTCTCTCTGTGCTTAATTAATATCCTTGGACATGGATACTAAACCTTGTAGGCTCCTGGTCAGAGCATGACACTCAATAAAACTTAAGCATAACCATGACATGCAACACAGCCCATAGAACTTCATACCCCCCTCCCTTTTCCTTCTCTCTTTCCAGCTCAAACGAGTCACCTTGGCTAGACTGCCAATCCCTGCAGCACGTATGTTCCTTGATAAGATACGCCAATAGAAACGAGAAATTCTGTAATGAGTTGGTTGCCTGTCCCTGCAAGGAGCTAAGCACCGGCTCCTGGAGGAAATGGAGCCCATCAAATGAACGTGAATACCGGTAAGGACAGTGAATGGGTGTGAGGATGTGTAGGGAGTCGTTTTCTTCCCTTTCTTTCCCTTTTAAGAGGAGCCCTATATTGTACCTGTCTCGTTCATTTCTAAGCATCCGCACTGCGTCTCGCTCCCTTGACCCCCGGCGCACACTCAGCTTCCATCCTGGCAGCTGGACTGAAAGCCTTCAAGCACATCAGCTCATGCCTATTCATTTCTCTCCCCAGAAATGCGATGGGACCGTCCCCGGAGTGGAGCTATTTTGAGAGGACGATCACTAGAACAATCACTGGCTTGACAGGCGATGGACAGTGTGGTGTAGGCAAAAAGCAGAAAAGACATTGTCATTGAGGGTTTGAGTCTTGAGCGTCAGGACAGCAGGGAAACTGGGTAGAGTCTGTTTGCCCGCTGGCCACTATCACGCAGTTGCAGTTACCTGCCTGACTTCCACGATCACCGGCTTTTTCACGGGACTGGTTGCTCAGCGCATGCAAGGGAAGGGGGATAATGGTTCTTGGAAACAGTGCTGAAAAGACGCGGTTCTTCCCAGCCAGCTCCTTGCCTCCAGATGGCCGAGAGGAGAGTTACGCTCAGCTGTACCCAGAGGCCTGTTCACAGTTACTTAAATCATGCCAAAAGGTGGATTTCACCACTGCAGAGCGTCAGTTATGCTACAATAGAACCAAGGGCACCTGAAGGTCAAGGAGACCACCTGACAATTTGCATAACTTCCCAGAGCTGCACCCTGCCGCCCGGCGGGGAGTTACAGGAACCTCAGGGACTCCTCTCGCAGAAATCCTCTTTCTCTTGATGGGAATCTCTTTGAAACACAGTTGTGCTTTTGGTATCAGGAGTTCTGCTGGGTCAGGGCTATGATAACTCATGTCTAGGTAATCAATGCCTCGGCCAGTAAATATTCTTCTGGGTGGATGGATAGATGGATGTCATACTGACAACCACTTTCCATATTGGTCCCTACAGCATGGCCGGGTCTGGTAATAAGGAAGTCGTCCTTTTAGTCCCCGACATCCATCATTTCAGCTGTAAAGACGGGATTTCAAATACATTTTCATTTCATTTCCACACTGGTCAATCGTTGGCGGTTGCCTTAAGGGTCCTGATGGGGGAGTCTTTGCGCTGAGTTCAGGAGGAAAAGTGCAGTTATGGGTTAGTGTCTGCCATGGACTGAAGATGAAGAAATAGTGGCCTTCTGGCTTCAGTTTTCCTAATGGGTTTAAAACTTTAAATTCTCCCAGTTGACTTTAAAATTTTTTTTTTATTCTTTATTGATTTTTTTAGAGAGAGAGGATGGGAGAGGGAGAGAGAGAGATAGAAACATGGATGAGAGAGAACATCGACTGGCCGCCTCCTGAAAACCCCCCACTGGGGATCTGGCCCACAACCTGGGCATGTTCCCTGACCGGGAATCGAACTGGCGACCTCTTGGTGCATGGGTCAACACTCAACCACTGAGCCACACCTGCCGGGCCAGTTGACTTTTCTAGACGAATACCTTTCCAACACATTTTAAAGTCAGCTTTGACTGAATGGAATGGACGGTTAAGGAGGTTTTTCCTCTCCTGGAATATTTTCCTACTGTATCTCTTCATGTACTTGCTGGATTTGAAAGCACATGAGGCAAGAAACCTCACTGTGCGGTTCCTCTGGACATACAATTCTTTTTTTTTTTCATCCTCACCCTAGGACATTTTTTGATATTTTGTTCAGATAGAGTGGGAGGAAGAGAGAGAGAGAGAGAAACATCGACGTGAAAGGGACACATCGCTTGGTCGCCACCTACACGACCCAACCAGGGCCGGGGACAAACTGCAACCAAGGTACGTGCCCTTAGTGGGAACCAAACCCAGGTCTCTCCAGACCACAGGCCGACGCTCCAACCGCTGAGCCAAACCGACCGGGGCTGGACATACAATTCTTATTGGGAAAGAAAACCAAGCTAGTTGGGTGCTAATTTACCCCAAGTGGTACATATAATAAAGTCCCTACTGGGACAAATTAAAGGAGGGAGAGAGGATGAGGGGCATCCATCCTGTAATCTGACCCTTCATTCTCAGTACTGGGGCCAATCCCTCGGTCACAGAGCCTGGACTTCCCAAGGAACTCAGTTCAGGGAAGAACGAGGGAGTCCCAGAGAAACAGCTGCTGAATTTTGTCTAATGTCGCCTCACTCTTTTCTTAGACAGTGGGATGTCTCTTAGCGATAGTTTAATGAATAATTCTAATAACCGGAACGCCTGAACGTAAAGTACCCAATGAGTCACCTCCGGGTCTAGCAAAGCTGACTTCATCACGGAGGGATGTTACTTTTTTAAAAGATATAATTCATAAAACACAAATCTCATCATTTTACAATCCAGTCGTTTTTAGTATATTCGTCATGTCGTGCAACCGTCACAATCCGATTTCAGAGCGTTGACACCACCCCCCGAAGAGACGCCATACCTATTAGCAGTCAGCCCCAATCCTACCCTCTCCTGCCATGGCAACGGCTAATCTCCCTTCTGTCTCTGTGGATTTACCTATTCTGGACAATATAAATGGAATCATATAACATGTGGCCTTGCGGATATGGCTTCTTTCAAGATTCATCCACATCACAGCGTGTAACAATACTTCATTCCTCTTTACGTCTGAATCATCGTTCACTGCACGGATAGATCACATTCTGTTCATCCGTCCATCAGGTCGTGGCCATGGGGGTGGTTTCTCTTTTTGGGCTATAATGAATAATGCTGCTATAACATCGATTGGCCGTCTCCTGCATGCCCCCCACTGGGGATCAGACCCACAACCTGGGCATGTGCCCTGACTGGGAATCAAACCAGTGACCTCTTGGTGCATGGGTCAGCACTCAACCACTGAGCCACACTGGCCAGGCAAGAAATGGTGTTTTCAGTTCTCTGTGGGTATATGCCTGGGTGTGAACTGCTGGGTCATAGGGTAACTCCACGTTTCACTTTTGGGAGAACTGTCGAACTCATCTCTACAGCGGCCGCACCATTTTAAATTCTCACCAGCAACGGACCAATTTACCAAGGTTACCGATGTTCCAACTTCTCCACATCCCTGCCGACACTTGTCATTGTCTGTCCTTTAATTATAGCCATGCTAGTTGTTGTCAGGTGTTTTTTTTTTTCAAACTCATGGTTATATCAAGCATGGTCATACCTGGGCATGAGACGGTGGGAGTCCCCTTCTTATGTAAACACCGAACAGAGCATCCTTCCCGAGGGAGATGTTGAACTTGAGGAACTGGGGTTGACTGATGTGAATCTGTGATCTCCAAAACACGCCCGGTGGTACTTCTTGGGTCACGCGCCGACCAACTTCTGCCTCGCCGCTGTCTATGCTGCTGTTTTTCAGGGACCAGGGCACTGGGAAACAGGGATGGACAGCAAGTCAGTGACATCTGGATACATGAGCTGGCTCTGTATTTCTGCTTATTATATGGCAGAATTAAAAACAAACAAACATATTAAGATTAAACTCCTGGCAAGTTCCTCTTTACATCACAGCTTAAAACATTGAGGTATTCAATAACGAAGCTATACGCGCACCCCCAGGGCATTCGCACGATGCTTTCTCACTGTCTCACTTTGTGACTGTCCTTTGCTGAGCAAATATAGTAAGAGCGGGAGTCTCCTAAGTACCTGTAAGCTTCCAATGGCCCTGAATGTAACTGGGACGGAAAGAAAAATATCAGCAGGGGAGGAGAGAGTGATATTAATTTGGCAGCACGTTTAATTCTTGCAGCCTTTAATTATTCTTTCCGGCCACAAACAAGTCCAGTATATTCTGACATTTTTATACATTAAAATGAAGAAGTAACAGTAAACAAAAATCAGTCCAAAGGAAATAAAATAACTCAATAGAAAGTGGAGACTTGATCTCAGGCTGACCTAACATTGGGAGTAACTTTTTCCTTGAGCGAGAAGGAGGCCATGTAGACACTACACTGCTATGCCGGCGACAGGGTCACATGTCTGCATCATTTGAAATTGGTTACAGGGAAAGTATCAGTGGCCCACACTCAGCATCCTTTATCCCTTTAATAATAGGAGCTTCAGAAATACCTACACTGGATTTTAAATAACCATAAACCAGCCAGTGCCTCCTACACTTCTGAGGAACCTCGTTTTCTAATGGTCATTTGTGATTTCTTGAAATGGATTCTGAACTTGGAAAAAAAAAATGATCGATCTACCTTCTTGAGAACTTCTAACCAGATACAAAAAGAATCAAAGGGGTCTTTTCACTTTCCAGTGGTCAGTCTGATGGCCTTGTTGGTCTGGAAACTTCTTCAGCCTGATGGGTGAAGGATTGGAAATCAGCTCCCCTCCACATTCTGGAACGGAGGGACTCTTCTGAAGGATGTATCTACACGTGGCCGCTACACATCGCGGAAGGTGTGGGTGGTCAGGAGAGGGGATGAGCTGCCGAGGACCAGCATGCAAGGGCAGTGAGCCTTCTCCCTCGGGAGACCTGGCTCTGTCCCTATCCAGCCACCCCACCGAGATGACGCGTAAATGACCTCGGGCCAGTTTCTCCATCTCTCAGTCAAATGAAGGCGCAACGTTTTTGGGTCTCGGAAGGCTTTCCATATCTAAATTATAAAAGAAAACTACAGAATGACTTGAGGGTCTGAAGCTGTTCCCCCCCCCCCCCTCTTTTCTCGAGCAAGAGAGGTGATGATTCATGTGTTTGTAGCTCTATAGCGGATGAAATAAAAGTCAACAGGGGTTTAAAAGAAAGTACAGGGAACACTGGTTTGGACCTTGAGCAGAAACTCTTGACCTCTCGAAAAATAAAACGAGAGAATGGGCTCCTAAGAGGGGTTTGAAAGCTTCCGTCAAATAACGTTGTTAAGAAGAAAAGAAACAACTAGGAAGTCCCGAGTGGTTCAGATGTTTAGATGGGGACTATTTGGCTTGTTTCTCAAGCATTTCTATGTTGGCTGATAGACATGGAACAGTCCCTCTAGGGCAGAGGGAGCAGAGACTCTCTGTTGCCTATGTGAGAACAGAGACTGGGGGTTGACATTGTCTTGGCTCAAATCCCAGCTTTGATCCTTGCTAAACGAATCACTTCTTTCTGCCTCAGTTTCCTCATCTGCATAGTTGGAACACTATCATTATTTATTTCACAGGGCTGCCATGAGGCTTGTATGAGTTAATCCATGGAAAGCCTTTAGAATAATTTTTGGCACAAAATAAATACTAAATAAAAAGTAGCTATCGTCATTATTATTCTCTGGAAGGCTCTAAGCCTAGATTGTGTTTTTTATTTTGCTAAAGTGATGAGAAGTCCAGGGCGAAATACTTATTATCAGTAGTTGATTAGAAGCCCCGATTATTATAAATTAGAAACTAGTTTATATTTAAAATGCTACTTTAGACATACCCTCCCCCCCCAAATTAAGGCCTTTTGGGGGAAGGGCTATAATAAAAAGACCCAATGAGGGAGAAATGTAGTAAAAAAGACCCCTAGGCAGGAATAGTTCAGGGACCTTGGAGAGTGATCAAAGGTAACCCCAGCAACCATAGTGTGGCAATAAGTTAAAGAAATGGGTACAGGGGGGACAAATGGTGATGGAAGGAGACTTGACTTGGGGTAATGAACACACAATACAGTGTGTAGATGATGTGTTATAGAATTGTACACCCGAACCCTATATAATTTCATTAACCAATGTCACCCCAATAATTCCAATAAAAACTTTAAAAAAGAATTTTAAAGAGATTATTCATCTTTGAACTTAACAAGATGGTCTTTCCCTTCTGTCTGTTGGGCTTTCGGGGTTACTGGGTTAACGACAGGATGTGAAAACGTAGCAGGAAGTTGGCCCCCATTAGCCTGCTGACCGGCCGTTGAGACCTACATGGACTTGGATAACGTCGGGTCAAACGAGGGCGCAGAGATGTGCCGGGAGCCGGCCTCAGATGGCCTTGGAGATGCAGGCATGGAGCTGCAGGGGTGTGGTTCTTAGATCAGGGGGACCCCCTGCTTTCACTAGACCCCGACTTCAGGATGCCGACTTCACTGAATTAGCTGCTACCCCCCGTGACAGTGCCCCTCGGGTCTTAGTCACACCCCTTCTTCACGTCCCATCCATTGAAGGGGCAGTGCACCCGGACGACGAAATACAGGCTCAGAGCCAGACGGAACTGTCCAAATCCCCCCTCTGCTTCTTCCCTGCTGGACGACCTGCAGCAGCTGGCTTGCCCTCTCTGGGCCTCTGTTCTTCGTCTCTTTTTTTTTTGGTAAAATAGGAATGATAGCTACACTTCATAGGGTGAGAGTAACAAATGGAAGTACACAACGCAGGGCTTAGTAAAGTTCCTAGTACACAATAACAGCAAAATGCACGCTAGCTAGTTACGCTGAATTAAATAAAAGAACGAAAAACTTTGTGGGAGAGCATTTGGCTTTCTTTTCGGAGTAAAGAATTTTCTAAAAGGAACACACGGTGTGTACGTGTGATCTATCTGTATGCACACATGGACATGCGTATATATGTCTATGTGTTTGTCTGCCTGTCTGTCTGTCTACCAAAAGAGAGAACATTCTTCTGGAATAGACTTAACTATGGAACGAGATGAAAATCGGGAATTAGCATGTTCCCATTACTGATTTTTGGTAGGACCATTCAGAAGTGATTACTCGATCGATTCGCTGACTTTATTGACAAACCTGCTGCATTGAGCAACACTGAAATTGAGGTCCAGTCACCTTCATACCAGCTTGCTTTTCCTTGACCCTCCCGCCTCCACCAGAAAAACAGGTTCTTCCCTGAGTTTCCCTGGCGTTTCCACTGAACTGCACAGCAGCACCTGTTGTTGGGTACGAGAAGGGGTTGTGTTCACCTTCCTAAGTCTCTCTTATTAGACACCGTGCTCTGTGAGGTCAGGCAGAGCTGGGATCCACCTCTGGGTTCTCCGTGGTCTCGCCTGGCAGCCCACGCAGATTCCGTAATGCGTGTTGAACTGAATCCAGCTGGCCTGCCCACTGATGGGCATGTTAACCCAGCCCCCGTGACTCTGGGTGAAATGAGGGCCTTTAGGAAGACTTACTCTGCAAAGTTGCATGTAAACTGACTTAAAAAAACATAAAACGGCCCTGGCTGGTTTGGCTCAGCGGTTAGAGCGTCGGCCTGCGGTTCAGGAGACCTGGGTTCGGTTCCCGCTAAGGGCATGCAGTTTGGTTGCAGTTTGTCCCCGGCCCTGGTTGGGTTGTGCGGGTGGCAACCACTCGATGTGTCCCTTTCACGTCGATGTCTCTCTCTCTCTCTCTCTCCCTCCCACTCTATCCGAACAAAATATCGAAAAATGTCCTCGGGTGAGGATTAAAAAAAATAATAATAAAAAAATAAAACGACCCTTTCGAATGTTCTATGGGGATATTCACCATTTAAAGGAAACTTCCTTGTGGATGCTTTTGAAAAAATCATGAGTAAACTCTTAGTGCATCTTTTGTGTAAAATCTTATAAACAAAGAAGCAAACCAGGAGAGCTAGGGACAGTGGAAAGACATTTAGATTAAGAACCAAAAGTCAAGGGTCCTAATCCTGATGCTTAGTGACTTGCAGCCTTTCATGGAAGGGACGGGGGTGTAAACAGACTATCTGGTTGAACCCCTTGCTCCTAAGCAGCTGGCTGGTTTAGGCAGGTCCAGCTTTCAAGGTCTGTGTCCTTGTCCACATACATAAGAGTGGTCTGCACCCAAACATATCTGAAGCGGTGTCGCTCTAGTCTACTGCTGTCTACAGAGCAAGCCAGGAGGGCCATCTCTGGGTATATGCTACAAAGGATGGGTGTGTGTGTGTGTGTGTGTGTGTGTGTGTGTGTGTGTGTGTGGTGTTAGCAGGAAGGAGGAAGGTGACTTTGCTTTTAAAAAACTGGATTTATCGATCATGAGTGATCATTACTGTTAAAAGCTGATGACTGCTTCCCAACTAAATCCTCCAGATGTGTGACTGAGCCGTGCGTTTGCCAAGGGGGCTTTTACTTTTCACGTAGACGTATGCTTTTGTACACAGAACGCTCATTTAGGAATAGCTTCAGACATACAGAGAAATTTCAAAAAGTGGTACAAAGAATTCTTGCATAGCCTTCACCCAGATGGCACAAATGTTATATACATTTGCTTTATCGTCTTCTCTCTCATTCATATATATATATATATATATATATATATATATATATATAATTTATGTACATTTTTCTGAGGCATTGAGAATAAGTTACAGACAAGATGCTTCTTTTTACCTTCTAATACTTCTATGTGTTTTTTCCTAAAAGCAGGGACATTTTCTCAGAACCACACAGAGTTATCAGAAACAAAAAACGGTAATTTGAAATTTACAATGCTATGTCTAATTTATAAACCTTATTCGAATTTCCCAAGTGTTACACTACTATTCTTTATAGCAAAGGAAAAACATCTTTTTCTATATATTTCTAAAAAACAAACAAAACTTTAAAGTGAGTGTGTATAACTTTTGTAATTTTTAAAACGATGGGAAACACTCCCGTTTTGTAAGTACTGCCACAAAAGACGTAAGAAAAGGTGTTTTTGCCAATTGCAACAGTGTGGTGAACTATTTCAGGGAACCCTGGAGGTGCAGTCCCTGCGCTGGGGTCCAGGAGAGAAGGTGTGTGCTGCTCTCCAAGGTCAGGGGCGGCAGCGAGGCCGAGCCCGCCCCAAACGGACCTGAACCTGAGCCACGCCAGCTGTTTCAGGAGCACAGCTAGTCCGTGACATGGCACCATGAGAGACAGGCAACACGGTGGCTGAGGTTTCTACCTTGACCTCCAGGGAGGGTACCCCCATACTGGGAATTTCTGAGACCTCAGAAGGCAGTGTGGCCCAGCCACGGTCAGCACTGAGTCTGCATCCCGGCTCTAACAACTCTGAGCTGTGTACCTTCAGGCTAATCTGTGCCCCCTCTGTTTACCTACTCATCTGTATAATGGGGTTCCTTCTGAGGATTAACCAGGGTAACACAGGCAGTACCTGACTTGTAGATACTTCTTCATCTTTCTATTTTGTTGCTGTGTTATTTAAAAATAGCTGTAATTATCCTAGATTTGGAAGATTAATCTGTGATGGTCTAATTTAAAATATAGGCTTCCTAGTACAGACAGAGTTCACCAGAGGGCTGAGGGGCAGGGTGGGCCTTAATGAAACAGGTTATTGTTTTCCAGAGCAGCTAAAATCAACATACAAAGTGCAGTCAGTAGGTCTGCAGACAGGGAAGGACCTGTCATGCGAATTAAGACGCTGTGGTCCGAAAAAAACAGAGTCACAAGTTCGGTCGCTCCAAATTGCAGGTGTCAAAATGTACTCTAGCTGCTTCATCGTAGGTACCACCTCTGTGCAGCCTGTGTTCGTACAAAGTAGCCAGATTTCATTTATTTAACAATGAGTCATGAGCGTCTGAAGCAATGTTGTGTGGGTCATTCATTCATACTCCATGCAGAAAATATTTACTGAGCATCTACGATCGGGTCAAGTAATCTTTAGTCAGTATCAAAATTGGGGTACAGGTCATATTCCTATCATCTCTTATCCAGGCAGCCTGCAGCCCACAGTCCCCGGGTTCAGCTGGGCTTGAACTGGCAGCCTCAGGGGAAGAGGGACTGAGCAGTTTTCTGGGGAAGTCTGGCCGGCATCCTTGGGTTCCAGGCAATGACTGAGCAGGCAGGATCCAGGCCACCCCACACCTCCCAAAGCTGCAGCTTCGGTGTCAAACTTGTCTTTCTATCCACGAGCTCAAAGTGACAAGTGGACATAATGATCACTTTGCCCTTAGAAGCAGATGCTTAACACACGGTCGCTCTGGCTGGTTCATGTCTAGCTTAAGGATGAGATTTCTGGGTTTTCAGAAGCAATACTCTAACAATCAGTGTTACAGGATGGCCCACCTCTCTCCCTAGCTCCACGGAAGATTGCCTGTGTAGATGGGAAGCTATTGCCTATTTCAGAAACATGTACCTAAAACCCCAACCAGTTAAATAAGACGGATGTCGAGCAAATCGACAGCCTTCCATAGCCACATTAGGAGCTAATCATTTCAGAAAACGTTGCCATAATTCATTTACGGAAACAGCAAGACTATTCCCCAAACAAGAGATAAAGGGCATGGACTCATAGTCATACCGGGGAAATGAAGCCTCATATTCATACTTCTTAAACTTAACAGAACTCCGGAGGCACCTTGGCATAAATCTGCCTTGCAGATTATTCTGCCTCACATATTTTTATCTATTGCAAATAAAGTTGAATTCAGAATATTGCTTCAGTCATTACACCTCGTTTCCATTTATTGGGGAATCAGGATAACCATCTGAGGGTTCTGTTTAACCAAGAGATGGGCGAAAAGATTCTCCTAAGGACATTCGATTCACTGCCTTAGATTATAGCTCTTCCAAGTCCCCAGCCGTCCATCAAGCTCCACTCTGCTGTGGGCTGGCTGTTCCTCAGGATAGATTTTCACCCCGCTAACACTGCTCCTGTGACGGTATTCACAGGATCACGCAGCAATAATAATTTTTATGAAATCTTTCCATGCTTGGGACGACAAGCACTGAAGGACATTATGAAAGTAGGCCGCCTTTAGATCTTTCGAAATCTCAGTTTGTCACCTGCGATAAAATGGTCAACTCTTTATCACTAAAAGTGTTGGCAAATATCATGCATCTGACTGCTGGGTGGTCTTGCTTCTGCATGAATCTGTCGTTCAGTTTATTAGTATCATTTATAGCAGCTAGCATGCATTGAGGGGTTCCTCTCTGCCCTGTGACCTCTGATACCTTGGTGATTTTTCTCCCCCCATCTTTCAGACAAGGGCACCGCAGAAGTCAAGTGGCCCTGCTTAAAGTAACACAGCTCTTAAGCGGTAGAGCTAGGACTGAAAGTCACGTATGACCAATGCGGTCTCAGCCATGGAACCACGGTGCTGACTGATGCCCAGGTCCTGGGCTAAGTGCAAGAGACGCGAAGAGGTGTGTGCCCACGCGGAGGGAGACAGCAAACTCTGCGCGTGCCAGGCAACCCGGAAAGGGAGGGGTGCCGAGGCCAGGGCGGCAGGAGACTGGAGCTCGTCATTAACACCCACGTCAAGCCCTGAGGCTGCTGGGTACAACTAAAGCCATGCGACTCAGAACGGGGCGTGGCCGACAATCAGAGTGACATCTAGCTACGTGACCCCCTAAGTCAGTGGTATTCAACCTGTGGGTCGCGACCCCTTTGGGGGTCGAACGACCCTTTCATAGGGGTCACCTAATACATAACAGTAGCAAAATTACAGTTATGAAGTAGCAATGAAAATAATTTTACGGCTGGGGGTCACCACAACATGAGGAGCTGTATTCAAGGGCCGCGGCATCGGGAAGGTTGGGAACCGCGGCTGGTGCCCACCTGTAACGAGGGTAGAACACGGCCTGTGAAGTAAGGGGAATTGTGTTGGTACGTAAGCTCTCGGTCTGTTTTCCAGTAGGCAAGCACCATTGTCACCATGGGCTCCGACATCATGACCCCTTGCCCTTCTGGGGACTTCACCGACTTTGAAAAAGCCTCACATAGGCAAGTGATCATTTCGAAACCCTGGGCTGTGTTCACTGGGAGGCCGACAGGAGCCAGAGGAAGAATCACCAACTTCCCTGCTAATCTGGCTCCTCGTACACGCACTACGCCAACCAGTAAAAATCATTACGAAGTTTCTGCTGAAAGGGCAAGTGGAGAGAAACATGTTTCTAAACAGAATAACAGTCTTTGCCATTTTTCTTCCAACTTGCATACCATCTGGAAATTCTGATTTTTTTTTATTTTCCAAAGGGTAGGAAAGAAATGTGCTCCAGGCACAAATAAATGTTTACAGCTGAGTTATAAACTGAGCGTGGTGGGCTTCAAACAGCCTGGCAGTGAGGGAGCCCAGGCTGCTGTGAGACAGCACACTGGCGGGCAGGCGGCGCCCGGCCCTCCGGCTTCCCGCTGCCCAATCTGAGCAAATGTTTGGGAAGAAGTCTTCGTCGGGCTTTGGAAGGTTCATAAAAAAATTAAAAAAAAAAAAAGATGTTGCAGCATGATCGCCTATCTTGACATCCTGAAGGCAGATTTTGCCTTTGGAAAATATAGTGCCTCGTAAGCGGTGGCGGCCCCTAGGGGCTGGCGTGCTCATTGCACCTCTGGGAGATGTCAGGGACAGCAGCAACCAATAACCTGCAGGGATCTCATAGCAAGCGCGGGATCCCACACGCGTGTTTGACAAGAGTTGCGTCATTTGTGCTGGATGGCGAGCTTATGAGGGGGGTACCGTTTTCCAGATGAGGAAGGAATCAGAAGCTGGGGGAGGTCACGCCCTACTCAAGTTCATTTAGCTGCTACGTGATGGAGTTGGTGTTTGCATCCAGCTGCGCCAAGTCAGAATTCTATAGGACAAAGGATCTGTTCACACCAAGTTACCCACATTGTATCATACCCAACTCTCAGTCGAGAGGAGAAAACTGACCTACTGGGAGTTTGGGCTCTTCTCCCTTGACTCCTATAATGTGTATCATTACAGAAAAGACCAAGGAAAGTAATAACGGGTTTGTGAATGCCAGAGAGCAGTCAGCAAACCCTTCCCGTAAAAGGCCCAATGGCATTTTAGGCTTCGTGGGCCTCAACCTGGTCTCTGTTGCAACTACTTAACTGCATTGTTGTGGCGTACAAGCAGCTATAGGCAATGAATGAACACGGCTGTGCTCCAATAAAACTTTATTTGCAAAAACAGGCAGCTGGTCAGTTCTGGTCCACGAGATGTAGTTTGCTGACCTCTGATACAAAGGACACGGTAAATTTAAAGTGAGTGATAGGCTTTGAGAATGATCTATGAAATCCTACTCGGGAGCTTATTTTTTCTTAAGATCAGTGAGCAAATTGGCTACCTGTGATGTGCCCTCTAAGCCCTTGTACATGCTGCCTCTGGGCCTAGCCAATCAAACTGGATTCCCTTATGTTATCTGACCAGGTCAGAACTCTATCGAATCTTTGTTCTCCAGGCTTATCTAATCTGAGATCTATAGAAAACGTGCTCCGCGCTCTCGTAATGAAGACGTATGAGTTCATTCCTTTTAACATAGAAATACACTCGAGATGGTGAGTGAGTCTGGCAGTCCGTGGGCTCCCTTTCCTTGATCTGAAACCCAACAACCAGCCATGTGAAGGTTTAATTGAAAGAGCGAACGAGAAAAAAATAAGCCATGAGCAACAACAAGTGGAAACGGGAAGACAAAGGCCAAGGAACATGCTCTCCTAACTAATTAATCAAGTGCTTTGTTTTCACTAACATATCAGAGTGTGTAGGCTGTGCTGTCTATTAGATTTCTTTCCAAATCTGAGAAATGTAAACACTCCTAAAGACCAGGTAATGAAATCTCTATCGACGTGCCATCATAGACGGGACTCGCTTGCCCGTGTTTTGCTTACATTTTAATTTGCTTCTGCTGAATACTCACCCAGTAATTGCTTAATAAGATTAACCTCCCTGGCCATGTGTGGTGTGTGTTGATGAAAACATTATCAGAGTGAAGGATTATGGTACACCACCCAAAATGGAGGGGGTGTTATTTAATTAACTTATTGCCAATATTTCCTGATTGTCTCTTTGAAACACTAGAAAAGCAGTCAATTGGAATTGATTCAGGTTATCTAAAGGTACAGAACTGGGGAGGGGAGGAAGGGAGGGAGGTCACAAGCAAAGAAATGCAAACCTAAGGTCACTTTCTCTAAAAAAGTTAGCCGTGTGTGAGAAAATGGGAACCTTTTTAGTTGTTTTTTATTAAAATCAAACTTTACAGCCCGGCCGGTGTGGCTCAGTGGTTGGGCATCAACCGATGCACCGGGAGGTTGCTGGTTCAGTTCCCAGTCAGGGCACATGCCCAGGTTGTGGGCTGGTTCCCCAGTGGGGGGCGTGCAGGAGGCGACCAGTCGATGTTCTCTCTCATCGATGTTTCTGTCTCTCTAAAATCAATTAAAAAAAATTTAAAAAAATTAAACTTTACAGAAAGTTAAAGAAGGAACCTGCTGTCTTCCTTGTTCAGAAACGACAGGTCTAGAGTTTCACTTCAACTGCAAGCAACTTTAAATTCTCACCCCTTTTCATAAGTGTCCTACTGACGAAGTTCACTAGACATAATGGTTCAGCAACCGTTTTTGCCCATCTCATAACTCATTTGAAAAATATCTGAATGGGTGATGTTATACGACTCACAATACACGACATTCTCAAAAGCCTATGGCGTCTGAGGGGAAAATTCTGGTCCTTCCAAAGACACCATGGAAGTCATTTCTGCTCTGGGGATTTGGAGAGGCCACAGTCACAGTCAGGACTTGTTGCCTGCGGGGATGTGTTCTGCCTGGGCTGGTGCGGGGCGCCCACACTTCACCATGAACGGGAGGAGTGTCTAATCTTAATGTTCAGAAGTTAATGCCTATCAGTGGTCCCCTTCAGCGAGGGACAATATGTCAAAAGAGCCTGTATCTACTTTCAGAACGTCTACACGCGTAACAGACATTTCTGTGCCCGAGGAGAGAATATGCCTCTTTACTTTCAAATGTGCATTCTGCATTCTTCTCAAAAGGACGGGGTGCTGACATGTAGCTGCAAGGACACTAGTGGGTAAGATGTAAGCGAGACCCCCTAAAGCAGGGTTTCTCCAAGAGCATCACCGTTGCCACTGTGGACGGGACAGTCTTCAGACGTTGCCAAGTGTCCCCTCGTGGGCAAAAATGCCCAGCTGAAGGCCACTGTCATGAAAGAAACCAAAGCCGCAGGTGGTATCAAGTCCCGGAGGTGAACAGGTGCCAGCCTGAGGCCGACATGCTTAGCTTGGAGCCTTGTTTTGTCCGCGAAGGCAGGACATGATCCGTTAAGACAAACTCTGCTCTTCATTGTTACGTCTAGTATTAGTTACCTGATCGTGGAAAGCATATAATATCATCCTCTGATACCACTTTTTCATGCTTAAAGGTAATTGAGGGTTATGATTAGGAGAGATGAGCAGAGCGATGATCAGAGACCGGATCAGAAGACAAAAAGTCCCACTCAAAGCATCAGGATGGCATCGGGGAGAGACATCCCAGCAACGTGAGCATCTCGCGATCACCAATGCACACCTGGACGGGAAGATGGATTCTGGAATCTTCTCTGCGGAAAATGACTGATCTAAGGAAAACTCCCACAAGCTTGCCCACGGGTGCACAGGGCACAGACCCGAGTCCAAGCTCATACCTGTCTACTTATTTGACTTGGGGTAAGTTTCTAAAGCCTCCTGGGCCTCAGTTTCTCCAAGATAAACCCCCCCCCCCTTGGAGTTTCAGAAGTTATGCAACACTAAGGTGCGCAATAACCGATAGCTCTGTTCCCATCTTTGAAACAGCCCTGTGGGGTATTTTAAGAGGCATGGGTGGGCAGGGCCTGTGCTGCTAAGATGCAGAGTGAACACTTCTGTGTGGACAACCCCCCCTCCGTCTGTGATCGCCTCCAGGATTCAGCTGGGCTGACGGCCACAGGCAGCTGCTGTCTTTTCCCCTTTTTAAAGGTGGAAGCTTCTTAACAAATTGCATTTGTAAGTGATCTGTGTTGGAACACAACAACTCTCCCGTTCTATCCCTTTCTACCCATGCTGCACAGCAGGTAGATAGCTTCCATTTGAGTTGCCAACAGAGGAAAACACAGCTCAAAAAATCAATCAATCAATAATCAAACAGAGGGTGCGAGAATACCGGTTTTAGTTTGCCCCACATGTTCCCACCTCCCCATGGTTCTGTTTTCTCCTCTCCTTCTTCGCACCTTTTCCCCCTGCAAGAACACAGCGGCCCGACTGTCTCCATAAACATCCCATGTCCTCTTCACTGTTCTTAGAAAAGAGGCTTTGTTTCCCAGTTGTCAAAACTCTCTCTTATTCTCCCCCAAAGCCCGACTGCGCGGAGTCTGAGTCTCTCTGTTCGGGCTGTGCCCCGGCGGGGCTTCCCCCCTGGGGCCGCCTGTCTCCCCAGGAGAGGGCTCTCTGCACCCTGGCTTCCTCCACCATGCAGGCGTTTCTCCAGCTGCTGCCCTTGCCGCTCTGCCCAGCCTGGGGATGCTCTCCAGCGGCTGCGGACCCTGCCAGGGGCTGAGGTAGCATAGGTATGCACATTGTTGTGAGCAGGCTCCGAGCCAGCTCCGGCGACTGCGGCCAAACACAGCTAACAGACAGGAACGGCAAACAGCTTTCAACGGGGGCACCTCGGAAAGGCGACGCTCCCCCGCCCCCCTGCTTTCTTTCCCTTTTTGCATACCTTCCAAGATTTGGATTAGAAAACCTGAACCAGCTGGCGGGAGCTCTGTGACCTCCAGAGGGTGAGCAGCAGCTGTAACCTCACCTTTGCCTCCAGATGGCAGCGTTGCCACATCGTCGGTCCCGGGTAAGCCGGTCCTCATGCCGTTGTTAAAGGTGTGTCCATCTGCCGGCTGGAGTTGCCAGTTGAGTCCGAGCAGATGCATTGCTGCGGGAGACAAAGCAATGGAAGTAGGAACAGATAACTCAGCAGTGCAAATGTCAAGGGGGAGCGCCAGGTGCCTTTGCCCAGCCGTCGCCTTGGCGGGAAGGTGCAGTTCAGAAGTGGCTGCCCCAGGGAGCAGCTAAATACAGAAGACAGGGCCTGGGGGTTGGGTCTCCTCTCCTGCTGCTGCTCACAGCCTCGGGTAGAGAGGGTCCCCATGGAGAGCAGAGGAGGGGGAGAAAACAGCCCAGACCTTCCAAGTGGCCCCAGCACGGAGGGGAAGCTGCCCCGTGGACCCACCATGCAGAGGGCTGCTCCATCGTACCCAGGCTGCCCCGCACTCGGGACACAGCTGTTCTTAGACGGGTCTCCAGGGACACTGGCAAGGACTTCCCCCAAACTACTCGGAACGTCTGTCAGGACGGGACTACTGAGATGGGACCAGCCCGCCAGTCTGCCGAGACCCACACGGAAACACCAGTGTCTGCCTGGCACCCCTTGGAAAGCCTACCCCCAGTGATTTCAAACTCTAAAAATAATTTTCCTTTCCACCCCTATTCATGGTAAGTGAATACTTTGCAGCCCATTATGAGAAAAGCTTGAGTGTGGTGGTGGAATGGGGTCCTTTTCTGGAAGTATCACAATTCCTCCTTCCCAACCCCCCCAAAATATACACTTGACCACAGTGCAGATGAGACCATCCCGGGGCCAAGCCTGTTCTCTCTGCTCAGGAGACAGGCACATCCGCACAAGTCCTGCTTCGCTTCAGCATGCACCCCAAACCTTCTTCCGGTCTTCCTGTCCCTCCGTCTGTCCCACCTCCCCGCTTCCCAGGTAGATTAGCAAACTCAACACACCCCATCGCTGTGGCTTCTCGGGGCCCTGTCTGACTGCCTGCGACCAAACCAGCCGCGTTCTTTCCAAGCCCCCATCGAAGAAATGCTTCATTTGCAAATCAATAAGGAGTTCATTTCCCTACATATTTTCCACTCAAACAATCATCGAGCCACGTCCGTCTGGCATGTCAGCCGGACACAGGCTGACGCCGTTGCTATGTGTCAGCACTGCGGGAGAGAAAGGGCCGTTGACAGGGATGATGCAGGGATGGGAGAAACAATTAACCACAGGAAACACAATTAACAATGCCTAGGAAACTGTTCACACAGCAATTAATTCTGCATGCCTGCCACCACTTCAAGTCAGCCTGCATCCCATTAAGGTGAAAAACCTATCCGCCAACAATACAGCTCAGATTGATGGCCGTGGATGAAGGTGGCAAGGTGTCCCCGTGTGCACGCGCGCGTGTGTGCCGGCTTTTTTCTTACACTCATTCCCGGCGCGGAACCATGTTTCTAGACGTTACTATGAGGAGCGAGGCCCACTGTTGCAGCTCTCCGAGATGATAAATACTAAGAAGAAGAGGTGACATTTACTGTACACTCTCCGTCAAGGGAACACCTAATTTTCCTCTGCAGTGTATCCGTTAGATGTAGGTCACTTACTTGAAGAGACCAGATTCTCCTGATTCAAATACTGACATCCTTTCCTTGTGCGGAGGTCAGGAAAGAACTAATCACGGTCGCTTCAAGGTAGCGGTGGCTTCTGATTTGTAATTACAAGGTGAAGGGAAGCAAAGAATTAGCTATTTTAAAATGATTTTCTTTTTTAAGGTTATGGCTGGGTTGCCAGGGTTCGGCTGGAGCCAGCTCCCGGCTGCACGGGGCGCACGGTTCTCTGGAGGGGTCTCTGTGTTTTAGGACAGACGCGTACAGGGACTGCGGGGGTAGCTGGGGCTTGGGCCTCACAACGCTCTGTTTCCACCTCTGTGACAGGGGGCGGGGCTCCATCAGGCAAAGGTGAGCACCTCCCTGGGGCCCCCTTGGTGTGAAAACTCATCTAACCTGCTCTCCTCTTACAGGGCTCCGTCTCGTCATCTCATGCAGAACACACGGCCACCCTCAGCTCTGAGGACGCAGCGAGCACACAGCACCCCAATCCACCGGCGTGCAAACAGCGCAGCCCTGAAACCGTGCTCTCTGTTCGCAACGACGCCTGCCCCCTCCTCCCTTTTTGTTTTGGGTTCCACAGCATCTCTTACTTATTTTTTTAAAGAAGTATTTTGAAAACAAGAAACCCATCGATGGGGTGAGAAGGGTCAGGGTCAGAGGATCCAGGAACTTCTCAGACGACTCCCAGAAGGAAAAACAAGCCGGCGAGATGGAATGGGGGCGGGGAGGAGCCTAATCTGCCGAGACAAGTGCCATCCTCTCCGCAGAGGCAATGCGGCAACCACGGCAACTGTGCAACTCAAGTCTGGGCCTATTTTCTGCTGTTCGAGGGGATGTTAAGTCAACAAGTGAGAATTCCAGCAGGGGGAGAGCCACCTTCTCTCGTTACTTAATTTTTTTGTGGGGGGCAGGGAGCAGAGTCTGAAATAGGCTTCTGTTTATACGTCTTCTCCTTCTGGATCAGTGGTTCCCCTCTCTCTCTTGAGTAAGACAGCATCTTTCTGGCTTGTGGGGGTGGACTGAAGTGTCCTCAGGAAACAGACCCAGGGGAGCTGTGAAGTAGATGAGTTTCCTGACTAATGAGAACTCTGTTTCCTATTCCGCTACTGATCTGCTCTACGGCTGGGGCCGAGAAGTCAGCCAGGCAGTCAGAGTCCCCCTTTGCCTTTGGTACAGGTAGCATCATGGCTGCTTAGGGACAGGACGGGTTGAGCATCTGTCCCCCTCGGATCTCGCCAAGTGCCCTGCATACAGAAGGCACCCCATCCATGTGTATTAGAATAGGTAATGCCGCACGAGGGAAGATGGAGGGGTTGGATCGTAGGACGCTGTGTCTTTATAAATAACAAAAACACCTAACACAGAGGTGAAAAGGATGGAATGGGATAGTGCGGGCAGCAATATGAACGAGTCTGCAAAGAGAAGCTATTTTGATTATTAGTATATCAATACCCGCGGCCGGTCCTCGAAGCCTTCGACGGCCAGCAATTCCTACAGACGTGATCTTAAGACTCATGGCTTATGTGTGAGGCGTGTACTACCATAACCCCCTTCACCAGGGAGGATGAGTGACGACTATGAAGTCTGAGCACAGGGAGATTCGGGAATCCAAGGAGGGGTCCACTGGGAGGTGTCACAGTGATCTGGTGACAACTTCGGGTTTGCAATAGGATCGCAGCAAACGGGGTCTCTTTCTTGCAACTTCTGACAATCTCACTGGCTGGTGAATGACTGTTTTCTGTATTCAGCACCCCTTCCTGAAGGGGGTTGTTTTCTTATCTTGTTGAGTGCAGGTGTGGGCCGTGACCAGGCAGCACACACTTTGCCTACCCTCTTCCTCTCCCACACCACCAGACTGGGTCGTGAGTGCAGATAACTGGCTCAGGGCTGTGGCTGACCGGTGATCCAACACAAACCAGTGACGATACAAACTGTTACTGTTGCAAGCCACTGAGAGTGTGGGGCTCTTTGTTACAGCAGCATGCCTGAGACTAGACGGGGAAGTGAGAAATTCCACTTTTACACACCAGGTCGCTATGCGCTCCTCGAAGCTATTTATTTACAGGGTGAGGATTCTTTCCCAAACCCAGCCAGGGAGAGTTAGAACACATTGAGGGCCATTACATTTGGTCCTATGAACAGCAACAAAATAGCTCTTTAAACATTATGTCATGACATTTCCAAGTGTGATCCACTCCCAGAATCTGATGTAGAAAGCTGAGGAGCCTCGGAGAAGCCACAGTGACTGCTTCTTCATCTCGAGTTTGGGTGAACACTGGCCTCATCAGTTTGCACGTCACGTAACAAGACCTCCAGGATGCAGCGGGTGGTCCCCTCTCCCACTCCCCCAAAAGCGCCGGCAGCTCATCCCAAAAGGTCCCGTTCAGACCATCTTAGGGTCAGAAGTGAAATGAGTTTGGGAGGCCCTCTCCCTAACGTGTTCAACCCTGCTGGCAGCCCAAATGCACAATTTATCATGATGTGACAGGCTCCACTCTGGGGGGACCTCCGGACAGAACAGCGGGGCTCTGTGGGTCAGCAAGGATGGAACAGGGACAGGCTCCAAGTGGAAGCTCATAGAATCCAGGTGGCAGCTGGGAAATCAGCCACTAAAAACACAGGAGGCAGCCAAATGCCGAGTTTCCCTGCAGCTAACTGGAGAGAGCGTCCACCGCGTGCTGCAGTGACCCAGGCAGGGTGGGGAGACCACACACAGACCCCGGCCGCAGCGAGAAGAAACAGACCAACCTGGAGCTGGGCTGACAGTTTCTAATGGAAGTTGCGGGTTTTTTTCGTCTGTTTGTTTTGTTTTTGTTTTCTTGTGCCGGATGGGCTCTAAAAGAAACTCTCAAAAGGAGCCCAACCAAAAGGAAGGAATTGGTTACAGGTAACAACTTTCCCCAGCAGCCACAGGATAGGAGTCACAGGCCTTGAAGAGTGGCAGCTTGAAACAGGGGTTGTCTGAAATAGTAATTAGGGGACGCCCGGGGCCTGCTGAGTGCCACTTAGCTCCTTCCATGCTCATAGGCTGGTAGACGGTTGGCCTGATAAGAGAGCCGTCGACATGCCAGCCACCCCTTCCAAAGAGCTCCCACCCCTGCTTATCACAGAGGGCACACATGGGGGCACGAGGCTCCGTGTTTGCTGAGCAGGCCCCAGGAGCAGGCGCGTCTTTAAAGACCAGCCTTGCCCGTGCAGAACCCGAGGAGGGGATTGGGCTTTGTCTTTGAAAATGGAAGCCTCAGGCAAGCAGAGTTTCGGGAGTGGGAGTGGGGGGCCAGGCCCCCCTCCGGCATGGGCGTGGGCCTGGCGGCTCGGCGTGGTCAGACTCACAAGGGCCTCAGAGATGCTGGCGAAGCCCCTGCAGAGACCAGGTAGGATGATGGGAAAGGTCAGGGCTGGTCTCCCTGCTCCCGAGTCAGCCAATTTAGTCATCAAAGTCAGGCTCCCCCGTAGCCAGGACCAAAGCACCGCTGCCTGGGGAAGAGAAGCCAG